AAAAAAATAATTAAAAAAATAAAATTTATGAATATTTATTATAAATATTCAGTACGCACTGAGTTAGTATTATTACATGAAAAAATATCATAACGAGTAAGTCTACTTATGTTCATTTCTATCAATATGGATTAACTTTCTTCTAGGTTTAATTTATTCTTTATCTTTTTTTAATTCTTAGAATAAGAAAAATAAGTTAAACCAAGATTAAAGTTAATCTATATAGAAACGTACTGATGCTAAAAATGTTTCAAAACATTTTTTGATGATCAATTAGTGAAATGTTTTTTCCGATTAGTCAAGCAAATAAATCACAGTTTTGTAGTATTTATATATTTCTTTTTCTAATATTGTTGCGAATCCTGGAAAATAACGAAAGCGGGATTTGCTTTTACATCATCTAGAAAGGTGATGACAATTGAATCTTATTCTGATCCATTTATATAGGTGTATGCTGCTTTAATATTTTCTCTGTTAAATTAATGAATAATTCATCATACTAATTAAAAACGTATTATCAAAGAATACAGTTTTTATTTTAGTTATTTATTTTTCTTATCGATCGATCAAGTTTCAAGAAGAACACCTACATTTTTGCATACCCATCTCCAGCTATGCTCTCTGGCTGGCGATTCAAATCATTTATATCAATTTTACCGATATTTTTAAAACAAACAAAACAACAGGTCGATTCTATTTATTTTCATAAAGCATATAAAATGAAATGACGAAAGAAAGCACAATTCTACGACCCTCTTCCGGACTGATTGTATAAGATTTATTTTTTCGTCACTTTGAATCATCTCTTCCCTTTTTTTCTCGAAAGAGAAAGGAAGAGAGAGAGAGAGAGAGAGAGAGAGAGAGAGAGAGAGGGAGGGAGGGAGCAAGGGAGAGAGAAAGAGAGAAAGAACACGTCGCAATTTTGCCGACAACGGACGGGCAGATATCGATTTGGACGGCCAATTAGGTCTAAGAGGTCCTTCAGAGAGAATTTGTACACGACATACTACGAATCACTTCTCCATCTCGTCCACCGCTAACGTGTCATTCTTCTCGCCGCATAGCGAAATCCAGCCGTTCCTCTTTCTCCCGCCCTCCTCTCTCTTTCTCTCTCACTCCTCAGCCGAATCCCATCTTTCTATGGTCGTGGCTCTCTCATTTTCTGAATTATTTTTCCACGAGTCGTTTGCAGGGTCGAGACTCTGGAGACTCTAGGGGAGAAAAGAGCAAGGGGGAGAAAAAGAGAAAGAGAAATTCGTACGGTCGAGGGAGTCCGTATGCCATACACATCCCTCTGACTCGAATATATAAGCGACGACAATGCGACGATAGCGGTGGAGAAGGATACAAGAATGCTATGTGGAAGAAAACGGTAGTATAAAGAAACGAGAAATACCCTGATTCGTATTCCTCTACTTCTATTTTCGCCGCCACATTTAGCGCACTAAGCATGGCCATCGGAGTGTGTGGGCTTTAAGACCGATCCCCGGGATGTCTGTTAACCCCAGATTGGGGATGTTACCCAAGGGATACGAAAGAATGAGGATGTTTTCAATTATGGTGAATGATAATGAATAAAATATTTATCTCTCTGTTACTTCTTCTGTAAATTCATCACGGAAAATATTATATCTTTATATATTATATCTTTCACGGCTTTTAACAGATCACAAGTGAATTCCCTCCAACAATTCAACGATCTCTTTTGTTTCTTTCTAAACATTGAATTTAGAGAGAGAGAGAGAGAGAGAGAGAGAGAGAGAGAGAGAGAGAGAGAGAGAGAGAGAGAGAGAGAGAGAGAGAGAGAATTGAACTATTTCATTATCATTAAAATTTAAACTTTCGATGTCCCAAGGAAGCGTCGCTTATTTGTACGGCATGAAAATTGGGCAAGCACGCGTTTAGCGCCGAGTATGCAACCGGAATACGGGATCTTAGGAGAGCACGAATTTCGCTCGCCACGCGGACGGAATTCTATGATGGAATTCTACGATTCTGCCGATATCGCAGCCAGGTCGACGGCGACACTGGGCGCCAGGACCGCCCGCCCTCCACCCTGTAATCTGGCAGTGCATTTAACCACTTTGCGAAATAGCCGTATATCTCCTCGCTGTGACGTAGCATTCGATATGTCGAGAGTGCGGGATTCGGCGGTGAGATCGGCAGAACGGAGTGTTGAGGAAGTGGAGAACGGGGGGAGAAAGTTCCCAAGGATAAAGAGACGCGAAGCACCGAGGTTCTCATGACGGGGATGAGGGAATCCGGAGAGGGGGTGAGTATAGCGACGACTACGATATGCGCGCGCCCTCGTCATACCCGTTTAGGGATAGAAGATAGTCCCCCGCCCCGCAACTAGGGTGGGGTTGCCCGACTGTTGGTAGGGGATAGAAATGCTCCCGATTCGACTCGGTGTGTAGGGCGCACGAGCCGACTATTGCTGCTGGGGGTTGGAAGTGGGGATTTGTTACAGGGAGAGTATCCATAGGCAGCATAGAGGAGAAAGGAGACAGAGTGAAAATAAGATAGATAGAGAAAGCGAGAGAGAGAGAGAGAGAGAGAGAGAGAGAGAGAGAGAGAGAGAGAGGATGTCGGGAGAACGTACGCGCACGATTGCAGGGCATGAGGGGTGGTGTAGACTCGAATCACGATGGTCATGTATGTGTGTGTGTGTGTGTGTGTGTGTGTGTGTGTGTGTGTGTGTGTGTGTGTGTGTGTGTATACGGGGTGTTGTAAAAAAATTCAAACTATGATGCTTTCTCTAATGATTTTTTAGATTATTTAATCTTGGTGAAAATTTCACTAAAGACTTTATTATTTTTCTTCGCGTTTACTAAACGTCGTAATATTGAGTCGTTAAAAAAAATTCTACTACTCTGATCTGCTAAAATTTCTAAAATTCCTCTAAAACTTTCAAAGTTAAACAGTTTGAACTTGATCTTTTCAAACAGAAAATTCATTTCAATATCTTGCTACTATCTCTCAAGTTCTTTCCGACCACCCTGTAGTGAGCATGGAAGAAGGGTGCGCCCTACTTCGCGTCGGCGTTTTCCCTCCCGAGCGACCCAGCGTGTACAACGGAGTGAGGGGGTGCCAAAGGGTGCGAGGGGATGTTAGCAGAGTACGGACGTATGGACATATGAAAGGAGAGAAACGGAGAAAGGGCGACGCGAGATGAAGATACGAGGAGAGGAAAGCCGTGCGAGAGGGTGTCTCTCTGTTTCGCAGCCGGGGGTTTCGCAGTCTCGCATTTCAACAACGACGACGCCGAACGTCGCTGGTGTCGCCGTCGCCGTTTTTTCCCTCGAGTAAGGGAACGCGCGCGCGCGTAAATGTGATAGAAACGTAAAGAAAAAAAGAGAGAAAGAGAGATAGAGCTAGAGAGAGA